AGGTGCTTTACTTTAGGAGGTGCACAAAACTTTGTGCATCTCCTAAAGTAATTTTGTTTCTTTTTCAGTATGGAATTAAATGTATAAAATTTGATAGAAAGTAGTTGAAAACCTCTTAAACAAATTTTTCTTGTCATGGAAAAAGAATTCAGTCTATTTGAACAGGAAATTTTCTTATATGGGGAAAAATTGGGACACTGAAATTAAACTTCTTTATGCAAGAACTTTTTAACCAAGTTCTACCTTATTAATAAATGGACTTTCAATATACATTTGAATTAAAATTTTAATTATAATATATAAATTTTTGTCTACAAGTATGTATTTTTCTAATATCAGGACTTTGTAGCATTATCTGTAAAGCCAGTATAATAAGTCCTGATATTAGAAAAATACGTACTTGTAGACAAAAATTTATATATTATAGTAAATCAAGGACATTGAGGCATTTTAATTAAAATTTTAATTCTTCTACTTTTCATTGTTTATAGATTTCAATGATTAAAAAACCTTTTAATATATATTTTTTACTATATTAGATTTGATATTTAAATTTTCTAAAAAATTATGACAAAACAATTTTAAGATTATACAGTTTACATAAACATTTTATCATGAAGTAAAAGAAAAAATATTTATATTGCACTGATCACTAGAAAAAAAGGCCTGTAAATTACATTTTAAAACTGTAATTTAAAATACATTTATAAAAGATACCACTACTAAACTTATCTTATTCAATCTGCAATAGAGAGAAGTTAAGTATTATTTTTATAAACTTTACTTTACTGTCATTTTTATTTGTATTTTCTCCATTACCAGATCACCAATGATTCTTAAAGTCAAGTCACTGGAGGAACCTTCATATTCACAAAATTACAAATGATTGTTGTTATACAAACAACTGACGACCGTTTCATGTAACAAAGATTGCAAACATTGGATGAAACCCAAGTCATAACAGAGATGTGAAGAAATCTGTGCTAGAGTTGAGTTTTAATATTTTATAGTCTGGTAACATTTAATTTAATTAAGAAACAAATGTTTTCTTTTTTAATAGTTAATAGACCTGACACTTTGAATATATTTGTGTATTAAATTAGATTATTATACAATTTTAATGAATATAATTTGTTATGTACACCTTCTATGATCCATGAACATTCCGTAATATTTAAAATTATGCCATTTATTGTATTTTAACTGTGATTTATAAATAAAAGAATATTACAATATTTTGAAATTCAAATTACAGTGTTTTTTTCTTGTTTAATTATTTCAAAAAAAAATCTAAAATTAATACAAACTTTTCTGTCTTGAAATATTTCAGTTGCCAATGCCAATGTGTACAATCCTGCCCCAAGAAATTAAACCGGTGAATAATAAGCCAGAACAATACTATTAATTACATTTTGCATTTTTGCTTCCTCCTCTAGTTTGTTGCAGTTAGATTCTGATTTTGGTTTTATGTTTTCATTGTGTTTCTATTGACTATTTTAAGACCAAATTGTTATAGAAGCAATAACAAATAGTTATAATAGAAAGGCAGTGAAAAATTAATTTGTCGAAAACAATTGATATACAAAGAAAAACATCAGAGAGAAAATATATTGCACTGAGTAAAAATTATGGCACTTGAAATAAAAGTCAAATTTTTTCTTGGGAGTTTCTCTTTGGTACTTCAAAGCCATACCATAAGCTTTTTATTATTGTCTCTGCACTTTGCATTCTTGCTTAAACAACATAGTGACATGGTGGAGCTTTCAAGAACAAATTTCAGAGATATTTGGGTTGCAATTTGAAAAAATGTAGACCTATAAATTCTAACTGTCATCCATCTGTCCGTCTTTAAGGACAGATTCTTAATCTCAAGAAAGGAGTTAGATAGATGAAAGATGAGACTGGATATAGAAAGCTGGGGGCAGGAGCCCTAATTAACTACAGTAGAGCATCGATTATCTGACTCAATTGTGGACTCAGGTTGGTCAGATAACTGAAAAAATCAGATAATCGAAAAAAATACATTATTGGTATAGTATATCGCTATTAACCAACTTCGCGTTGAATTTTCATCGATGTTAAGCCTAACAAATTTTTTTTTTAAATAATAATCGTCACTATTGTATTGTTAAAAATTATTTTATCGCTCACAAAACAAACAACCACTCATAATTAGAAAATTAAGTCTTGTTTAAATACTGGCATCCCTTCAATGGTCGAGCCATGTTGCCAGCTAAAACACGCAAAAATTTAACAAAAATAATATTAAAGTAGCCAAGACATGGCCAAATATTGTAGCGCCACATCACTAGCAGACATTTGAAATTTGCCGACTAGAACGGTCGGTTAACTGATGTGGCGGTTAATCGGGGGTCGGATAATCGATGCTCTACTGTATATACAAAGTTCCAGTTTGCACCAGAAATGACATTTCAGTTGAAAATTTTTCCCCAAAAGGTGTTAGATGACCGGCACAACTATTGTTAAAGGAAAAGTATGACATGCAGGACAAGCCACTACAAATTTGAGATGAAAAGCATATTTTTAATTAAATAAATGAAAAATATGCTTAAAAATTGCATCATGGCATTGTAATGATGTCACAATAAATAATAGCTTGTCTTTGTTTTAAAATTTAATGGTGATTAAGCGTTAATATTGGATTCTAGTCTGAGGACTTATCACACCTATTTGAAATGTTTTCACTTGGACACCAAGAGATCTTTTTTTGGCTTATCTATTTTATTAAATATGCATTTCAGTCACATAGAGGTCGCTCTGGAAAATTTAAAAATATTGCCACCAGTGGCCAAGCAGTTTTATTCTCTGAACACTGGTTGTTTGGTCATGGGTTCGCACCTCACCAGGACATGCTGGTCATATGGAGTTTTCCAGGTTTTCTCCACATCTGTAATGCCCGAATAGGAGGACCCTTAAAAAGACCTCCCAGAAGGCATTATTCCCCACTCCTCACATATACAAAATATATAATTACTAACCATGTCCATCGCAACTTACTATGGGATGGTTTAGCCTAGTAGTTCTCTCTCAACTTGAAGACAAGACATTGCCACCATTTTGTCAGTTTAAATTTTTTTTGCCATTTCAAATTATTTATTGTCACCAGTTTTACTGACTAATTAATCCTGGTGCCAGTAGCTTTATCAGTTTGGAGTCTGGAAAGCAAAAGTAACATGTTAAACTGTCACAAGAAAGGGGCAGACGTTCGGGTCTCCAGTTCAAACAAAACTTGGTGAGCACTTAGCCCTAAACACAAATAGCTCATCATCCAAATAATAAGACCCACTTCTCAAGCATTTCCAAAAATTGGGCTTATGAAAATTTAGTGTTTAGCTTAATGAATAATTCCAAACAACACATTTGATCTCAATGTTTAAACAGTATTTCACAGGTCATGTCATGGCATGTTAAAATTTTTGTTTTAGTCTACTGAAAAAAGTCATCCCAAAAAATTCCCCAAAATTTCTGTCAATAAAAGATCTCAATCTGGAAACATTGAGCAGCATTGCATCACACTTTTTTTTTTTTAACTCTTTTTGCCATGTGGGTACTAAGAGGGCCTTTTAGCAAGCCCATTATGGGTTCAGCCAGGCCCACAATGGGGTGGCTGTATGGTGAGGGATGTGGATATAAAGTATTTTTCATACTTTGTTTTACCAACTCAGACTCCACAATATTGATTATAAGCCTCATAAACACATTCTGTAAGATATTATATCTTATAGAATGTGTTTATGAGGCTTATAATAAAAAATAATAATCTGGAAGTTGTCAGAAGAAAGGCTCAGATTATGAACCTGAGTAGGGCTACAAAGATCAATAGATGTGCCATTTTGATAAGATGAAGGCTGTATTGACCTGGTTAAATATTTTTGATAAGCCACATCTAATATACAATGTAGACAAAAAAGTCTGTAGATTCGCTCTTCATAAACAGAAAAATGTAATGACAGAAAAAGAGTACACTGTGTCACTTGCACTGTGAAAATGTGTCTATTGTCGTGTGTGGAAAGGCACTGAGTCAAGTCATACTGCCTATGATTATTTTTGAAGGGAAAAGATTAAATCCCGAGTGGAAGGATAATCTTCCACCTGACAGAGGTTGAGATGACTGAGAAAGGATCAATGAACATAACTTTCATCAAATGGTTTATCATTTTTCAAAATCCACCATAGATCTTGCAGGGAAAGGAAAGCCAGTTCTGTTATTTATGAAGGGAAGATCGAATTGCTAACATGAAATTGTGTGTGTTGTTCAAAATATGTTCACGAAGAGTGTGTTGGTCTAACAGTTGAAGACAAAATATCCAGTTTTCTTTGCCCAGAATAAAATGTTTAAGCTACTTGTATTTTATTGGGTTTAAATACATTTATTGTAATTTAATTAGCTCTTACTTTAATTTACTTTACCTTAATTAACAAATTATTTCTTTATGTATTTGGAACCCCATTCCAAATAAGGTCCATTACATAACTTTTGGAAAATGTATTAGCATCTTTTGAAAAGTTTTCTGTAATAACTTTAATTTCACATTTCTGCAAGTACACAGTCTGAAAGTTGTACTGCAACATACTGTAAGATTTTTCCTCTAATAGTGACAATACAAAAAGTCTTAAAATGTTAGGTAGGTCTTATTTGGCAAATGTACAGTACCTTATTGTCAGTCGTCCTTTCATTCCAGTTGGTACAGAGTCATAGTAGGCAAAAAAGTAATCTGGTGAAAAGTTTGCAAATGGGTAATTACTATAAAAAAGCCAGAATGACCCATTGTGTATTGATGCATATAATTTTATTATTACAGCAAATACAAGTTTTGACAAAAAGATCAGAAATTGAATCTGTTGTAACTGCTAACAATATAGATGATATATTTTAATATTGTGTGTATTTATATTTGTGCTGCATGCATGATTGTTGTATTGCAATGGTTATTTCGACACTAACTGTAAGTGAAATCAATTTAAAGAAAACAAATACATTTAAACTAGAAAACATGCTTTATTTTGAGGCACAGAAGAAAGGCATCATTTATTCATTTACAGATTTAAAGTATTGTGTATTACGATGTACAAACATTAAAGTTTTCATATAATAAAAGACAACTTAATAAATATTACTTTCAATATATTAAATTTTTTAAACTTTATCCAAAACACTAAAATTCATAACAAGTTTTTAAAATATACATTTTACTACACTTTACACATCAGAATGCAAAAATAATTTATAACAAATAAATACATCAAAGTAGAGCAATAAATATTAAATTAAAACAATATTTGTTTATTAGCTATTTAATTCCAGTATGAAATAGTGAAATTATATTATCAGATCGATATTAAGACTAGAAATTGATATTTATGTATTCCATAATGTTGGAATATTCAAAGCAGTTTGAATGCAATAGCGAGATATTCTTTTAAGTTTGATTGCAGTTTTGTAAAATACAGGCAATAGTTTTATTGAAGAGACAGAGCCGACTAGCAGACAATAACAAAAAGATAAGCAGTGCCAAGCAAGAGACAAAGACATATTTTAGCTGTGGTCGATTACATCATTGACTATTTGTCCTAAAATGGATAAAGTTTGGTAATTATTAATTATTTAATGATCACAAACATTTAAAAATCTAGTGAGTCAATGATTGATATTAATAAATTATAAAATACTAGTTATTTTTTTATTTTTAAAGTGCATTAAAAATTAGCAAAAGCTGAAAAGCAATCCATTATAAATTAATTACTTTTTGCTTATAATATCTGGAATTTTATTTATTTTAACAATGAAATTTATTGGGTAAATGAAATAAATGATATTTATTGGGTAAATGAAATTTATTGGGTAAATGAAATATTACAGCCACTCGTCGCTTAACGACCATTTGAACTTATGACCATCTCTCCAGTGCAGGGAATACCTTCTCTAATCTTAGTCTAGTTCCCATAGTTGATCAGTATGTTTGCTGTTCCATCTCCGTGGCAGCGTGCACTGTGTACATAATCGTTAAACTCAATATCTTGTAAGGTGCAAAAAGCACCATCCCTCAGTATTTTGTAATAATCTTTACTTCCTTGTAAAGTGCAACAAGCACTGGTCAACAGCAACCACCCTATATTGTATATGTACTATAATTGTTCTCTACGTACAAGTACGATGCAAGGCACTCGTGGGATACCCCATCTAACCTCTCTTCCTTCCAACTTTTCTAAACCTCTCATACACCACCCTCTACACCCCTTCTTCCTTCCTTCTTGTATTCAGGCTAAGTCAAAAGACAGCCTTCTGATCTTTAGCAAAAGAAAAAGAAAGTTGATCAGTATTCACTACACAAAGCATTTGCAATCTCCAAGACTACATACTGTATTTCATTTATAAATTTGTACTTTTATTGTACATCCCATTTGAAGGATTTAATGACAAATATAAATCTGAATGTCTTTTTTTTTTTTTTTTTTTTGAATGGATGAACTTTAATTTTTTGGTATATCATTTTTATAACTTTTGCTGATTTTATTTTAATGTTCTATTATATGTAAGAGATGCAAATTAAAACTAAGTTATCAAGTTGGAGTTTCCTTTAGACCTTTCCTTTATCTAGAATAAATAAAAATGATTCAGCTCCTCGTTTAATGATCAGTTTGCTTAACCACCTACTTGTAGAAATAGAACTCTTGTCATTAAGTGAGGAGTGGCTGTATTATTAAATTTAATATTGAAAATTCAAATAATCATTATTTGAAAAAAATTATAANAAGAAATTAAAATAATAACATAATAAAATTTTTAATTAATTATCAAATAATTTTTCTGAAAATGATAGGTAAGAATTTATGCTTTTTGTTAAAAATTGATGCTGTTTCATTTATTATGCTAATATATCAGAGACAATTTATTAATTTATTCAATTACAAACGTTGATATTTAATTCTCGCAAATCACACCTAAATTCAAAATTTCCAGCAAATAAAAGTCAAAAATACACATCAAATGTTTTCAGCCACTAAATTTATCGGTCTTCCTCAGGAAATATAAACTGGAAAAAAGTTTTTCCAGGAAATATTTGCGAATATTACAGTTTCAGTTTTTGGTGAGGTTATATTTACATTGATATTTAATGTGTGATAGAACAAAATTATTTAAATAAACATTTTCTTTAATTATTATTATTATGAGATGTATTTGAATGTTATGAAATTTTATCTTTATGTAGAATTAACAGAAAAATTCTAGTAATAAGATTTGTCATTATTTTTATAATTTCAAAAATATATAGAGTTTTCAAAACATTTTTTAGTTTATCAAAGGAACAATCCAGGTATTTTGCAATTGAATTTCACTTTAAAACCAAAATAAAACTGTGTTATCCAATAATTTATTTTATAGTTTTTTATGATATCTATTTAGATATTTGTTTAATGTAGCTCAATTTGTCCATTTTGTTATGTAAAAAATTTTTTGACCTCATGAACAAAACAACAGATCTACAGATACAATACTAAAATTTGTTGAAGACTTATAGTATCACTCACATACTAATAGCATTTGTTGGAACTTGCTATTTGTTGCAAGTCTTCTTGCCAGAGTTGCACAAGAAAAGAGAGAGGAGGTGCTTTACTTTAGGAGGTGCACAAAACTTTGTGCATCTCCTAAAGTAATTTTGTTTCTTTTTCAGTATGGAATTAAATGTATAAAATTTGATAGAAAGTAGTTGAAAACCTCTTAAACAAATTTTTCTTGTCATGGAAAAAGAATTCAGTCTATTTGAACAGGAAATTTTCTTATATGGGGAAAAATTGGGACACTGAAATTAAACTTCTTTATGCAAGAACTTTTTAACCAAGTTCTACCTTATTAATAAATGGACTTTCAATATACATTTGAATTAAAATTTTAATTATAATATATAAATTTTTGTCTACAAGTATGTATTTTTCTAATATCAGGACTTTGTAGCATTATCTGTAAAGCCAGTATAATAAGTCCTGATATTAGAAAAATACGTACTTGTAGACAAAAATTTATATATTATAGTAAATCAAGGACATTGAGGCATTTTAATTAAAATTTTAATTCTTCTACTTTTCATTGTTTATAGATTTCAATGATTAAAAAACCTTTTAATATATATTTTTTACTATATTAGATTTGATATTTAAATTTTCTAAAAAATTATGACAAAACAATTTTAAGATTATACAGTTTACATAAACATTTTATCATGAAGTAAAAGAAAAAATATTTATATTGCACTGATCACTAGAAAAAAAGGCCTGTAAATTACATTTTAAAACTGTAATTTAAAATACATTTATAAAAGATACCACTACTAAACTTATCTTATTCAATCTGCAATAGAGAGAAGTTAAGTATTATTTTTATAAACTTTACTTTACTGTCATTTTTATTTGTATTTTCTCCATTACCAGATCACCAATGATTCTTAAAGTCAAGTCACTGGAGGAACCTTCATATTCACAAAATTACAAATGATTGTTGTTATACAAACAACTGACGACCGTTTCATGTAACAAAGATTGCAAACATTGGATGAAACCCAAGTCATAACAGAGATGTGAAGAAATCTGTGCTAGAGTTGAGTTTTAATATTTTATAGTCTGGTAACATTTAATTTAATTAAGAAACAAATGTTTTCTTTTTTAATAGTTAATAGACCTGACACTTTGAATATATTTGTGTATTAAATTAGATTATTATACAATTTTAATGAATATAATTTGTTATGTACACCTTCTATGATCCATGAACATTCCGTAATATTTAAAATTATGCCATTTATTGTATTTTAACTGTGATTTATAAATAAAAGAATATTACAATATTTTGAAATTCAAATTACAGTGTTTTTTTCTTGTTTAATTATTTCAAAAAAAAATCTAAAATTAATACAAACTTTTCTGTCTTGAAATATTTCAGTTGCCAATGCCAATGTGTACAATCCTGCCCCAAGAAATTAAACCGGTGAATAATAAGCCAGAACAATACTATTAATTACATTTTGCATTTTTGCTTCCTCCTCTAGTTTGTTGCAGTTAGATTCTGATTTTGGTTTTATGTTTTCATTGTGTTTCTATTGACTATTTTAAGACCAAATTGTTATAGAAGCAATAACAAATAGTTATAATAGAAAGGCAGTGAAAAATTAATTTGTCGAAAACAATTGATATACAAAGAAAAACATCAGAGAGAAAATATATTGCACTGAGTAAAAATTATGGCACTTGAAATAAAAGTCAAATTTTTTCTTGGGAGTTTCTCTTTGGTACTTCAAAGCCATACCATAAGCTTTTTATTATTGTCTCTGCACTTTGCATTCTTGCTTAAACAACATAGTGACATGGTGGAGCTTTCAAGAACAAATTTCAGAGATATTTGGGTTGCAATTTGAAAAAATGTAGACCTATAAATTCTAACTGTCATCCATCTGTCCGTCTTTAAGGACAGATTCTTAATCTCAAGAAAGGAGTTAGATAGATGAAAGATGAGACTGGATATAGAAAGCTGGGGGCAGGAGCCCTAATTAACTACAGTAGAGCATCGATTATCTGACTCAATTGTGGACTCAGGTTGGTCAGATAACTGAAAAAATCAGATAATCGAAAAAAATACATTATTGGTATAGTATATCGCTATTAACCAACTTCGCGTTGAATTTTCATCGATGTTAAGCCTAACAAATTTTTTTTTTAAATAATAATCGTCACTATTGTATTGTTAAAAATTATTTTATCGCTCACAAAACAAACAACCACTCATAATTAGAAAATTAAGTCTTGTTTAAATACTGGCATCCCTTCAATGGTCGAGCCATGTTGCCAGCTAAAACACGCAAAAATTTAACAAAAATAATATTAAAGTAGCCAAGACATGGCCAAATATTGTAGCGCCACATCACTAGCAGACATTTGAAATTTGCCGACTAGAACGGTCGGTTAACTGATGTGGCGGTTAATCGGGGGTCGGATAATCGATGCTCTACTGTATATACAAAGTTCCAGTTTGCACCAGAAATGACATTTCAGTTGAAAATTTTTCCCCAAAAGGTGTTAGATGACCGGCACAACTATTGTTAAAGGAAAAGTATGACATGCAGGACAAGCCACTACAAATTTGAGATGAAAAGCATATTTTTAATTAAATAAATGAAAAATATGCTTAAAAATTGCATCATGGCATTGTAATGATGTCACAATAAATAATAGCTTGTCTTTGTTTTAAAATTTAATGGTGATTAAGCGTTAATATTGGATTCTAGTCTGAGGACTTATCACACCTATTTGAAATGTTTTCACTTGGACACCAAGAGATCTTTTTTTGGCTTATCTATTTTATTAAATATGCATTTCAGTCACATAGAGGTCGCTCTGGAAAATTTAAAAATATTGCCACCAGTGGCCAAGCAGTTTTATTCTCTGAACACTGGTTGTTTGGTCATGGGTTCGCACCTCACCAGGACATGCTGGTCATATGGAGTTTTCCAGGTTTTCTCCACATCTGTAATGCCCGAATAGGAGGACCCTTAAAAAGACCTCCCAGAAGGCATTATTCCCCA